CTCATGCAGTCTCCACTCTTCGTTATGTTTTTTGCTACTTTGTTGGATGCCTGGGCATCTTAGCATCTTAACTCTGCATCCCCAAACCGCACCAGTGAAGGTGGGCTTGCCACGACATGTCGTGTGAGCGTGGTTCTCCAGCGAAGTCTCCGACAAGCGAGGGCGGAAAAGAAGAGGGCATGACAGGTCCCGGGTGAGGCTGAGTCGCTGCTTTGTGGAGGCGGACCGCGCCGCAAGTGCACGGATCTCGGATCAGTGCGTTTCGCAGAAAAAACTCCCGCTTCGAAGTGCAATAGCTGGTGTTGTCGAGTGACCTTGCTTAACGCCGTCCACGCTTTCCTTCCTTGCCGCATCGACGACTGAGCCATTTCGGCGCAGCGCTGTCCATCTCTCCACATTATCTTCGCACCATCATCAACAACTTCGACCTCGTCCAGCTCGATAAGCGGACTTTGGCAACTGCGATCAGCCATGGCTTCGTCCAACACCGAGGAAGAGCGTCTCAAGGCCGAGATCGCCAAGCTCTCCGGTGCCATCCAGTCGCACAAGCAACATAATCAGTACCACCAGCCGTATGCGTCCCGAGGTAGAGGCTACTATGCTGCTGGGCCGTCCTATCGAGGCAGCTACGGCTCGCCTCGCGGCGGCTCGATACCCGGACGCGGCAGAGGGCGTGGCGCAGCGGTCATTCCGCCTCGCAACCGCACCCTGATTCTCAATGAATCCGCCTCCAAGCCCAGCACATCTGGGAATCCAACTTCTGCGCCGACGAAAGTGCCTCCAGCAGCAGCGCCGACAGATTCAGGTGCATCCTCGTCTACAGACGCATGGATCAAGCGCAAGTCGACGCACAACATGAGTCTCGTCAGTGCGTCAACGTTTCAGCGCACCGAGCCTGCGCGGCTGGCTGCGCTCGAGGCCACGCGCAAAGCCAAAGCCGAAGCGCGGTCCGCAGCGTCCCAATCCAAACTCGCCCGGCCCAAGCCCGCCAAAGCGTCGGCATCCGTGCGTCGCGGCGACAACATGGGCGAAGTGGTCATCGACGGCGTCGTGTTTGAATTCGACCCGTCCGGCACCAAGCTCGTCAAGAAAGCCGTGCAGCCCTCCGCATCTGCCGACGAATCCGCATCAGCGAGCGCCGCGGCTGGCTCGTCTGCACCTTCCACCAGTGCGGTGCCGCTCAAGACGAGCATCAATGGACAGGAGTACATCCGCACGAAGCGCGGCAATCTCATCTCTGCCGAGCTGCTCGCCAAGCGTCGGGCACAAGCCAAGATGGGTCGTCTCGACAAGATGGTCGGGCAGATCTCGGCCATGCAAGCCACGCGCAACGCTGGTCGCCCGAAACGCAGCGGCCCGATCGATGTGCAGAAATCTCGTACGCTGTGCACGTTCTTCAACAAGACCGGGCAGTGTAAGCGCGGACTGTCGTGTCCGTATCGCCACGATTCGAGCAAGATCGCACTGTGTCCCAAAGTGCTGCGAGCAGCGGGATGTACGTTGCCCAAGGGGACCTGTCCGCTTTCGCACACGCCGCGTGCAGAGCGCGTACCGCACTGCGTCCACTATCTCCGCTCGCGACACTGCCGCAACGGCACCGCGTGTCTGTACACTCATGCGGAGCTTGTGGACGGTCTGGCCACCAAGATCTGTCGAGACTTTAGCGAGTACGGCTGGTGCGAACGAGGTGCATCGTGCGAGCAGCGACATACATACGAATGCCCCGACTTTGTCGAGAACGGTAGCTGCCAAAGAAAAGGCTGTAAGCTGCTGCACATCCTGCGAGCCAACGACACAGCCGACAAGGATGCAGAGGAGGTCAAGGACGACGACCTTTTTGTGCGCGACGATGCGGCGGCAGAGGAGGAAAGGCCTGGGAAGAGGAAACGCCCGCTCATGCAGACTGAACTCGACGAGGAAATGATTCCGGACTTCCTGGCAGCGGAAGAGGAGGAGGAGGAACAGGTGGACTGGACACAGAGCAAGCGCAGTCGAAGCACAAAGGCGTTCACGAACCAGCACGATTTTATCTCGTTTGCCGACGATGCAGAATCGCAGCGCGACGACGAGAGTGGCGACGAGGAAGAGGATGATGCCGCAAGTGTGCATAGCGACGAGTTTGAGCTCAGCGACGGCGATGACGAGGACGAGGTGGCCAGAGAGAGTGACGATGACGACGACGAGGAGGTGGAGGAGGAGGGGGAGAGCCAGCAGGACGAGGACCAAGACCCATATCAGGAGGACGTGGACGATGGCGATGCCGGCGACGACGATGACGACGACGCAGTGGACCGCGATCTCTGAAATTCACCGCTTCAACGTGCGTCCACCTTTCTGATGGACGTGTTCAATCCAGGTCACCAGATCTTGACAGCGCGCGAGTGTGTAGAAGGAGTGCGCAAAGTGAGGTGTGTGCAGCGAGTGTAGATGCGAGGCGAATTGAATGACGAGTGGCAACGAGCAGTGCACGATTGGAACTGGTCGCGCGTGCTGAGATCGAGTCGAGGCTAGCATCAAGGCTGAGGGGCGATCTTGACTGGGATCTAGCCTCTTGCCCACACCACCATGCGTGCCTATCGACTTTGCCAAGTGTGCTGTATTTCAAGTGTGATTCTGCTTGAGTTTGCGCTTGGCCATCCTGGGTGCATCGGGCATGGCAGCCTGGATCGCCTGCGTCTTTACATCGTCTGCATAGCCCGCCACTTTATCGCCCAGCTGCCACAGCCAGCCCTGCACCGCCGTCTGGCGCAGATTCGCCGTGGGCACAGCGGCCAAGTTGAGCACATCGACAAACAGCGCATTGGGCCACGCCGAAGCGTTGTACGTCTTCTGCCACAGCGTGTGCAGGCGCGGATGGCGACTGGCGTCCACCGGGTTTTCACCAAGCTCCTTGGCGGGGATCTCGGGATAGTCGACGCGCGGTAACGGAACAAGCCCCGTAATCGATGGCACTGCACCGCTGTTGGGTTGCGCTGCGGAGGGTTCGTCCCAGCCATCGGTCGGTTGGTCGTCTACATCTACGCCTGCATCGCGCGAAGGTAGGTGTTCGTCGTCGTCAACATCGGCCATGGCGGCAGCCCGTTGGGAGGCGGCCTGGATCATAAGCTGTCGTGCGCGGTGCGTTGCGAGTTCGGGGATGTTCCAACCTCCCGTGACGACCAGCGGGGAAATGAGCGGATTCATCGCACAGTCCGCGCCCGGAATCCAGGGATACGGCGCCCGCGCGGGCCAGTAGAGCATCTTCTCGGTCGGCCGCAACGAGCCCTCCCAATCACTCGCCTCGTCCCACATCTCCCGCAGCTTCTCGGGCTTGCACCTTCGTACCTCTGCAAACGCCGGATGCGTATCGGGGTGAATCCGTCCGCCGCGCACCACCGAGGGATGGATCGACTCGTTCGTTCGCCCACTCTCGCCCATACTCGCCCATACGCTGCGCCGCATCGTAGACGAGTGGTACTCGAGCTGGTTCACCGTGCGTGCCTGCTGATAGTTGACCGTCGGTCGGGAATGGTGTGGTAGCTGCATCGCCCACTCTCTTCGCCGGTCGAGGATCGTCGCCAACAGCCCGAGGTCGATGTTGAGCAGCGGACCGAGCGTTTCTGTGCCGTCGGGGAGGATGTGCTTGTCGACGAGCTGCGAGACCATCCAGATGAGTGTAATGTCCGAGAGACCGTGGAACTGGTAGCCTCCACCGCAGTCGGTGTGGACGCCCTGGAACCAGCACTGCTTGAGCACCTGCTTGGAGCGCATAAACTGCCCGCGCACGCCAAACTCCCCCTGCGCCGAAGTGAGGCCTGCGGCGGCGGGAGGGGGTTGATACCACATGGTGGGGAGGAAATCCTTGCGGTCCTCTTCGAGACTGAGCGCATGGAAGCCGAATTGCACATTGCTACCCAGGCCCGGGTCGTAAAAGTCGAAAAAGTCAATCATCTCGCGGTCCTGGAACATGCCGGGCAGTCCGAGCGCCGAGACCGTATCCCACACGCCAATCGCCTTGATCTGTGGCGGCACCACGAGCATCTTCTGCCTGCGCTTGCTGCACTCGTCCCTGCGTTTGGCGATGAGTTGCTGGCGCTTGGCCTCGGGCATGTTCTTGTTTTCCGGCAGGTGGTAGAGGTTCCACAGGTACATGCTCGTTGCGAGCGCTTCCGATTCCGCCGACGGATAGCGCAGCGTGGCCGTGTAGAGCACCTCGGCAGCCTGGGTTTCGGTGCGGATCTTGTCGGCATCGCGGTGCTGGTAGGCGGCCCAGATATCGGCAAAGTGCGTCATCTCCACCTTGGAGAGGATGCCGCACCAGTTGATAAAGCCGTTGATGCAGCGCGCCGTGTACGCTCCGCGCGAGAAGCCGAAGAGGAACAACTCATCCCCGGGCTGGTAGTTGTCCACGATAAACCCGTAGGCTTCCTCGATCTTGGACCCCAGACTGAGCCCGGTGCCTTGGTCAAAGAGATTCTGCAGCGCGCCGGTCCCCGTTCCGACACCCGACTGATAGAATACGATTTGCGGCATGGCATTGGATGCGTGGGCACCTTTGGTTTCTGTTCCGCTGCGGTTGGGATGCGGGCTGGTGGGTGGTGACGAGGGAGTGTTGCCGCTGGACTGTGCGATGATCTTGGCGAGGAGGGCGACGTTGGTGAAAAAGTCGCCCGACTGCGCGTCGGAGTCGTCCTTGTCGTCGGCGTCCGTCTTGCGCGGCTTGTCGCTCTTGTCGCCACGGTCCCAGTCGTCCGCGGCGTCCGGGTCGTCTTTGGGCGTGGTGAGTTTGGTCTTGACCCAGTTGCGCGCCTGCGCGGTGCCGTCGCACAGCACAATGATGCGCGCCGGCCCGCGCGGGATGCGCGGCTGTAGCGGCGCAGGCAGCATGGTCGCCGGCGCCGACAGCGACGGTAGACCGGCCGCGGCCGCAGACGGCTCTAGCGAAACCATATCGGGACGGCCAGCGAGTTGCGCTGGATGCGAGCGGAAGGTGGTGGTGCGTGGTGCGTGTTGGAGGCTGGGTATAAACAACGAGCTCAGCACTCAGCTCGTGGTGGTACAGAGGAAAAGGGATCGGTTAGATGGTGGAGAGGCAGGATGATTCTCAGCATCCCGCGAAACAGATGGGGGCTGGACCCTGAGCCCGTGCGACCTTCTTGATGGAGCGGGCTGCTGCGCGCGGGCCCAGGCACGGGGAGCAGGCACGGGGAGGGTATGCACCGATCCACATCGACCTCAACTCCACCGCGCACCTTGGCACACACTCCACCGCATGGCGCCTGATGCAGAGCATCGGCCCGAAAGCTTCCCTTTTCCTCGAAGTACTCTGCTTTGCCGGTACCACACACACTCTTGCGCTAAGTAAAGCTCCGAGCCAAAGTCAAGCGAGCACCTGCGCTTTTGCCGAGACCAACACCTGCCCCCTGAGCCTCGCTCTTTCCTTTTTCGCGCCCCTTTTACCGCTGTTTTTTCTAGCCCCTCTTTTTATTGAAGGCGAATCCAATCTCGGATGCGAAAAGAAAGCAGTTTCGTGAGCATCCACAACAAGCCATCTGCATCGATACATGGGCTACCTTGGTCAGGAAAGCTCTCGTGTACTTAGAGTAACCCCAAACGCAATCCTCAGAACCTCGAAGATCCCGTCCCTGAGCAGCATTGAGATAGAACAACGCCCCAGCAAGAAGGCGAAAAACACCCCTTTGTCAAAAAAAGAAAAATTTCCACGCCTGCTGTGCTTCGGCTCCACATGGCTCCACCTGCACATGCGCGGCTTTTGTGCCAAGATCGACGTTCGACATGCATCTCGTGCAACTTCTAGCTCCCTGCACCCTTGCCAGATCCGCGCCTGTCAGCGGCTGCTCTGCCGACTCCCACACCGGCACCGGCACCAGCACCAGAACAAGCACGTGGACGTCATTTCATTTCATTTGGTGCGCACAGATTGACACCCTTTCGCAACTGGCTCTGAGGTTCAAGCAGGAGCCGGACCGTCGTCGCGCTGGTCGGCACCAGCCTCGGCGGCCGGAGGTGCTAGCTCGACTGCCACGGCTGCCTCGACAATGAGATCCTCCAGGGCCATCTCGGCGCCGGCTACCTTGCTCTCGTCTGCCTTTGCAGGCGCATCGTCGCTCTTGGCAGCGTCGGTGGCAGTGGCTTTCTGAGCGGCAGCGGTGTCCGGGTTTGCTTCGCCCTCACTGACCTGCTTCGGGGCCGTCGCTTCCTCTCCGACCGAGGCGGCGGCGGCGGCGGCGGCGTCAGAACCCTTTTCGACCTCGATCGTGCTCGTGTCCGAAGCGTCCTCGTGCTTGGCAGCTGGCACGGCCTTCTGATCGACCGATGCCACCATCGGCAGTTCCAAGGTAGCAGTCAAAGTTTCCTTGATTTCCCTGCGAGATTCGACGTCAACCACCATCATGCTGCCGTCTGAAGCCTTGGTCACTGACGCTGGCGAGAGCTGCTCTGTCAAAGCAACTGCACTCTCAGCTGGATGCTGCTCGGCCTTGGACGGCTCGACATCTTTCTGCTGCTGTGTTGATGCAGTCGCGCTACCAGCCGAGGGCTGCACCGCCTCGGACGCCTGGACGTCTTTCTCCGGCTTCACTGAGGCAGCTGCACTATCAGCTGGATGCTGCTCCGCCGTGGATGCTTTGGCTTCTGTCTTCTGCTGTGGAGAAGGCGGCTCTTTGGGTGATTCGGCCGGCTTGCTCTCTGCAGCAGCAGCAGCAGCCTCGACAGCGGCACTGCTCCGGGCGACGGTAACGCTGTCGCGCTGGAGCGGGTTTTCGGGCTGAGCCTCCGCACCTGCCGAGTCCTGGCCGCGAGCAATGATCGGCACGATCTGCGTCATCGACTCGTCCTGAGTCTGTGACTCTTCCTGGGTCTTGGGCTCGTCCTGCGTTGTGGACCCGATTTCCTGATCGGAGACCGTGCCTGGCCTGACTGCTTCCGCGCTTGGCTCTTGCTTGGCGTGTTGATCGACACCCAGCTCGGGCACCTCCTTTGCGGCATCGTCGGAAGGCTTGCCATCGGCGGCAATGCCGGAATGAGGGCCTTTCTGCTCAGCAGCGCCGAGCTCTTGCTCTGTGACAATGGGATCGGGCTTGTGCTTATGGGCAGCGGCTGGCTCTGGCTCTTTCTTGCGGGCAGTGTCGAGATCGTGCTTTTCGTTCTGATCCGCACTGGGCTCGACCGCTTTGTGAGTGACAGGAGCGGTAGCGGGTCGGACAGGCAGCATGAGCTCGTCTTGCGTCGAGGCAGTCTCCTGAGTAGCGTGCTGAGCTTGCTCAACTGCCGTGGCAGTGGGCTCTTCGACAGCCTTTGGCACTTGAGTCGGCTGAGAGTCGATGCGCACCTTTTTGGGCGGGCGTTCCTCGGCTGCGGCCTCGGCGTGGATCTCCCGGTCGGTGGCGGCTGTCTCTGCGATTGAGGCCTCCGAAGGCAGGTGCGCGGATGGTTCCGAGGGCACATGGGCGGGTGCCTCTGCGACGCTGGCATTGTCACCCGCTGCAGAAGGGACTGCAGCTGCCGACATACCTGCGGTGCTGGCATCACCTTCACTTCGCTCATGCTTGGAGGTCCAGAGATTGAACTCGGCTGGCGATGCGAACGCTTTGGAATTGTACAGCGTGGAGCGATTGCCGAGAGGATGGCCGCTCCTGATGCCGAGGAGGCTGTACAGGCTTGCCCTGCAAAAGATAGGCATCCTGCCGCAAGCCTCGGCGACGGACTGGAGCACATTACGAGCCACTTCGGAGCTCCAGACTGCGCGGAAGAAGACGTCGATGGCGACGGATCGCTCATTGTCGGTGCGAGAGGACGACGAGGAGGAAGTGGCGCGCGAGTTGCTGGAGCGCGATGAGGCGGCCTTCTTGCGCTTCTGTCCGCCATGGCTGTGCTCGCCGAGGGACTCGGATGGGGGCAAATGGCGAGCACGCAGGGCAATCACCAAAGGTTGGGCTTGCAGCTCACCCGCCTCGAAGCTCTTGACGAGACGCGTCCAGGTGGCGTCGAGGTGCTGCGGGTTGAGGATGAGCGTCCATCTTCCTTGCGACCAGAGCGGGTGGTCGGTGGCCATGAGCATGATCTGGTCGTGAAAGAGGTTCTGCACCTGGTCCCTGCACTGCTTCTTGCTGGACTTGGTGCTCCTCGAATTGATGCGGACGGGGATGGCATCGTCCTTCTGGATCTGGTCCACGTTGGCGATGGCCTCGTTCATGAGCTGCTTGGCGTTGATGAAAGTATCGTCGGCGGCGGTCTGCACATCTGTCAAGCTCTCTGCGACTCGCAAAGCAGGGTCGGCGCGGGTGACCAAGATTGGAGCGGACGAGGCGCTGAGGTGGCTGGGTAGGTGCGCCTTGAGCCACTCGTCGAGCTTGCCGGTGCCAAGCCTCCAAACCGGGCTGTCGGCCGAGGATTCGGGGTGTGGATGAGCTGCGAGCTCCTGCATGTTGGGTGACGAGATGTTGGGGATGAAGACAAGTGGAGCCGAGTTGGATGGGCAGTACTTATACACGCAATTGCTCGGCTGGCCGCAGCGCCCAACAAAGGCCTTGTGGTCCAAGGGCGATCCGCGACCCGCACTGGAAGCGGACGAGGCGAGGGTGTGCGCCGCGCAGGCAGCCTTCATTTCGGCTGAGCCGAAGCGGTTGAAGCGGTGTGCAGGCAGCGGGGCAGTGTCGACTGAGCCTCGGATGGAAGGATGTGCTCTCCGAACGAGAACGGGCAGCGGCTGACTCTTGTCGGGACGACGCGCGAAAAGACAGCGTCGCGTGATGACAAAGAGATTGTTGGCGTGGTCTGGCAATTTGCGCCGCGTCGACACGGAGCTGTCAGGAGCCTCATCCATCTGCGCCCAGATCAAGCTTTGGCGCTGCGCAGCCACAGCATTATCCCGCACACCCGACCTTTTTGCACCCAACCTTTTTGCGCATGGACTGGCATCTCGTGCAGATGTCGTCGTGTTGGGGGATCGTAAGGAGTCGTGTCGTGCGATCGATTGCTGAGTACAATCTAGCGAGAGGAGCCGCAGCCGCCGAACAGATGCTCGAGGGCGCTCTGAGTCCAGTCCTTCTTTGGCTCTGCGTCGCTTTCCGAGTCGAGGCCGTAGTCGGGTTTGTGGATTCCGGCGTGCGACGACACGGAGCGATATCTTCTTGGCGGGTCTCGTTCCTTGCTGTTCAGCAGCGCATACGCAACAGCCACCAGTGTCGATGTGATTCCCACTGCGGCTGCGGCCACGACTCCGTATCGCACCATCTGCTCGGCGTTGATTGCAAATGCTACGAGGGCGGATAGCTGCAGTGCCGCGCCGAGGCACACGAGCACACCGCAGCTCGCGGTGATACTACCCAGCACCTGCGTCCATCCATAGCGAGGTCGAACGGTCTGCAGTGTGTGTACGAGCATGGTGACGACCGAAGCGTACAGGCTGAGGACGAGCGAGGCGGTGCCCGGCAACACTGCCACCGGACTCCTGTGGCCGTACCAAGCCAACTGCGCTGCCTGCATCGATCCCAACAGCATCGCCACAACCAAGACCGCTGCAGGTTGCAATCCCCTCCGCTCGCCACATCGCTGCCAACATCCGTCTTCCATGGCCGTACCACTGAGCATCGACTGCCCTTCCTCCATGTCATCGCTGCGAATTGTTGGAGTATACCCAGCAGGCGGAACATAAAATCCTCCACCGCACGCAACCCTTCCCTCCTGTCGTGTCATCTCGTTCATGGTGGTTCTCTTCCTATGCCGTCGTCCTCCCAGATCGCACGGTATTAATCGCTAGTTTCATACCCCCAGCCGCCATGAAATCGGCAATGAAACACCTCCGCGCGCGAACCGCCATCTACAGGGGCATCGCGCATCTCTCCTAGCCCAAAAATCACGCGCCCTAAACCCACACCCTCATCCCCACCTTGACCCCTCTCAACCACCGCCTCCCCTCATTCAATTCATCCACTATGACATCACACCGAGATCTACGCTGAAAAAAAGAAGCCATTGCCGCCATGTGCTACTGCATGTGCAATTCTAAGTCGACTTCTGCTCGAGCGCCGGGTTGCCGTTTCGGTACATGCGCTCGTACGCATAGTCCTGCGAGTGCGCCTGCTGCTGCTGTTGCTGTGGCGCGTACATCTGCGCCGCATGCTGCTGCGACGGCGTTGCATATCCCGATCCGGCGCCCGACCCCGGATTGCGCGCCATCATCGGCACTCCCTGCGCCGCATAGCCCGGCCCGCCATTGGGCGCGGCGTAGTGCGGCTTCTGCGGCGTGCCGTGCGCCCCGAGCGCCTGCTGCGCCGGAAGCCGCTCCGTGGGGCTATGCCCAAAGTGGTGATGCTGCGGCGGCACCGCGCCCGCCGACCACGGCCCTGCGCTGTCCGGGCTGCGCGAAAACTCGCTTCGCATCGGCGTACTCGCCCCGTTGCTGCTCGAGTACTGGCGATGCTGCGCCACGCCTTGCTGCTGCTGCTGCTGCTGATGATGCAGGTGCTCGCGCTGCTGCACCTGGCGCATCGTCGTCGGCGGATGCACGTCGGGGCGATGTCGGTTCTGCAGCTCGCCCGAGTGCAACGGACCCGCGCCATATGGCCCGCCGCTTCCATTGCGGCCCATGCCCACGCCGCCGACACCGCCGCGCATCTGGCGCATGCGCGCGTACTTTTCGCATTTCTTGAGGATGTCGCGCGACGTGAGGTCCGCCGAGGCATTCATCAGATCCTTGTCCTGCAGCACCGCCTCGAGCTCCTCGGGCACCTTCCAGATCTCGTCCTGATGCTCCAGCAGATACGACACGGCGCGGTTCGCCAGGAACGTCTCGTCCTTGGTCGGATCGCTCCCCTTGCTGTACAGGATGTTGGGGCAGATCACCGTCGCCAGATTGGGCAGGTCCATCTTGCTGCCCGTCTCCTCGTCAATGTGCGAGAACGACGCGACCCACTTCAAGAATGCAAACAGCACCTCGAGCGTGTCGCGGTGGCCCTTGGGCAGCAGGATGGTCACCATGTGCAGGATGCGTCGGCGCTCCGCCTCCGACTCGAGCTTCTGCGACATGACAAACAGCTTGTGCAGCTTGAACGTCATGAGCGGGTCCGGCAGCTCGCGCAGGAACTTCTTGAGCAGCGCCGCCAGCTGCACCGGATTGTCGTCCAGCAGATTCACCGACGAGCTGTCGCGGTCCAGCGCCTCGGACAGCTCCTTGAGCCGCCGAATGTTGCCGTTCTTGCGGAAGATGCCCTCGACGGACAGATCCATCTGCTTCATGGCCGAGATCACGTCATCGATGAACGACGGCACGCGCAGATGTGCCGCGCTCGCTCCGAGCGTCGAATCGGCGCCGTTGCGCTCCACCAGGATCTCGAGTGGGATGCCAAACACGCCCTTCTTCTTGATCTCCTTCTTGTCCTTGCCGCCCTTGAAGATCTTGCCCCAGAATGTGTTTTTGCGCGTCTCGATAAACTCGATCAGGTCGTCCAGATTGACGTGGTCGCGCAGCGCCGACTGCTGCAGATACATCACCGCCATGTGCTTGACGATGAACAGCTCCAGCGCCGAGAGCTCCGAGATGCAGCGCGTGCCCTCGCTCGGCAGCGGACGGTGCTGCTCGCGCGCCTGCTCGGCTTCGAGGATGTGCGGGATGTCGGCGAGCGTGATGCCGTCCTCGCTGCGCGTGTCGCGCTGCAGCTCGTCGCCCGACGGCTGGCGCATGGGACCATCCTCGCGGATCTTGACGTCGGTGTTGTGACGTGCAAAGGCAGGGCGAATGGGCACGATGGATCCAGGCTCCAAGTTGGAAGGCGAGCCTGACCTGGCAGACGCTCCGACGCCAAGCTGTGGCTGCTGCTGCTGCTGCTGCTGCTG